CACATCATGTAATTGAAATGAATATTCACATCATTATATTCATATTAATTTGAAATGAATTATTGTCATTATATTGTCAATTACATGATGTGAATATTCATACTAAAACATACGAATGTGAATGTTCATATCACTACATGTTGTGAATAAGAATGTATTGTCAATTAAAAATATAAGGGTAAATTACATTTACCTCCCCTGAGGTTTCTGACAAATACAGGGACCTCCCCTGTGGTTTGAATAATTACAGTAACCTCCCCTGCTTTACCTGACAATATCAAGATTCCCCCCTGCTGTCAAAAATCACTAAACGGTGTTACTTCTTTCTTAGGAAATTACCTTATTGCCCTTCCCTTGAAAACACCCTCAATCTCCCATGCTCCCTATTAATGTTGATATTTATGTTGATTGTCATTACATTTTGGTAGTTCTCATAAATCAGAATGTTGACTGTCATTATATTTATATTAATTTGAAATAAATTTTTATCATTGGTAGTTCTCAAATGAATATTTGAAATAAATATTCACATCATTATATTCACATTAATTTGAAATAAAATTTTGTCATTGTGCTATCAATTACATGATGTGAATATTTATAGTAAAACATACGAATGTGAACATTTACATCATTACATTAGATGAGAAAAAATGTTCATATGTTGTGAACGTTCACATTACTATATGTTGTAAACAAGAATGTATTATTAATTAAAAATAAGAAGGTTCACATATTGTAAAGGTTCACATCACTACATTAAATGAGAGAGAATTTTTCAGAAATATGTTGTGAACATTCACATCAGATGAGAGAGAATGTTCACATTATTTTTAATGTGCTGTCAATTAAAAATATATTCACATCAGATAAGAAAAAATGTTCACATTATTTTTAATATGTTGTCAATTAAAAATATATTCATATTATATGATAATATAAAATAATAACATCAATATTATTTAATTTGTGTATGAAATTTTCTATACCTTGGTCCTTTCCCTTCTCTCTCCTCCTTCTAATATTAAATATCAATATTAAATATAAAGGTATAAGAGTCTAAGAAAATAGTGTAAATTGAGAAATTTTTTAACCCACTTAGTCTCATATATTTATACTTTTATTCCATAAAATTCTTTTTCTTGATTTACACTATTTACTTAGACTCTTATGCCTTTATATTTAATGCTAGGAGAGGAGAGAGAAGAGAAATGATCAAGGCATAAGAAATTTCATAAACAAATTAAATAATATTGATTTTATTATTTTATATTATCATATAATGTGAATATATTTTTAATTGACAATACATTAAAAATAATGTGAACATTCTCTCTCATCTGATGTGAACGTTCACAACATCTTTTCAAAAAATTCTCTCTCATCTAATGTAGTGATGTGAACATTCACAACATGTGAACCTTTTTATTTTTAATTGACAACGCATTAAAAATAATGTGAATATTCTCTCTCATCTATTGTGAACGTTCACAACACTTTTCTAAAAAATTTTATCTCATCTAATGTAGTGATGTGAACATTCACAATGTATTATTAATTTAATTGACAACACATTCTTATTCACAATATGTAATGATGTGAATGTTCACAACATGTAAATATTATCTCTCATCTAATGTAGTGATGTGAACGTTCACATTCGTTTGTTTTAGTATAAATATTCACATTATGTAATTGACAACACAATGAAAAAAATTTATTTCAAATTAATGTGAATATTTATTTCAATTGCATAACGTGAATATTCACATCATGTAATTAATAATATAATAATAAAAATTTAATTTAAATTAATATAAATATAATGACAATCAAAAAGCTCCCAAATTTAAATAATATTCTCAAACGAGAATAATAATTTATTGAATTTAGGAACCTAAAATAAATAAACTGCAACCAATGAGTTCACATGTGTTGGTATTTTTTTGTATTGAAAGCCTAATATTGTATTTAGTTGTAGAATTTGAAGGGAGATTTAAAAATGTTGAAATTCACTAGGGGAATATAATTATATTTTATTTAACTTTACAATTTTTTTTATTATTATTTTTTATTTTGTTTTAAATCGTCCAACTTACGCAAATCCTATTCCTGAGCAAACATGCTTTTGTGTTCGGAAAGCAACGGGCTTGATCGCGACGGTTTGGCGCAACATGTGGCCCCCACTTTTACTAAAATTGACGCCTATCAATCAAAATCTCTTCCCACTTCATCAATCTGACTCACCTCTCTCATCCCAACCAATTTTGTCAACTTTTTTTACTATAAATGGCTGTTTTGGAAGGTAGGATATTAAAGTTTTTCTTTTTCTTTTTCTAATATTCTTTAAAAAAAAAAATTAAAATTAACTCACTTTCTAAAATATTTAAAAAATTAATATGTTTTTTAAAATTATATTTTTAACATGTAATTTCACCTTGAAATTATATGTTGAAAATATAATTTCAAAAAATAAAATCCATGTCATCATAAATTACATTTTTAACATGTAATTTGAAAATAAAATTGCATATTGAAAATATAATTTGAATTTAAAATTATATTTTCAAAATGCGATTTTAAAAAGGAGGTTAATTTTCTAAATTATTTAAAAAGTTGGTCAATTTTCTAAATTATTATTTTTAGAATTTTTTTTAAAAAAAACTCTAGGATTGTGGTCCCTTTTTAACTTTTAATTCATTTCGAATTATATTTAATTTGTTTGGTTTTAGTTTTTAAAAATTTTTAATTTTTTATATTTTAATATTTTCAATGATTTTTTTAATATTTTAAGCAGTTTTTATTTTTATTTTTAGACACACCTAACATAAATACTCTTAAAAAGTATACTATTTATAAAAAAAATCTTTAAAAAATATACTAAATACCAAAAAAATACAAAAATACAAAAATTCAGTACATTTTTTTTTATATTTTTGTGTTTTTATTAATTTTTTAAAATATTTTTTCACAAATATTTTATTGTTTGGATACATCTAAGTAAGGTACATCTAAAAAAGTAAAAAAAATTGCTTAAAATTTAAAAAATATTCACTAAAAATAAAAATAAAAAAATAAAAAACAAAAAACACAATTCTAAAAAAATTGAATTCAAAAAACTGAAACCAAACACACTGATTATTTCTTACATTTTTTATATATTTTTTCAAAAAAAAAATTTAAAAAGTTAAAAAATCAACTTTTAATTAACCATCTTCTCAAAACAATTCAAAATAGAAAAAAATAACAAATTAGGTTAAGTTTTAAAAAGAATCACAAGAAAAAATTTATGATTTTAATAATTAAATTTTATCGTGTATCTATTTTTTTTCCTTTCATTTTTCAACTGATATGTAATTTTTCTTACAAAATAAAACATAAAGAATGAGCGAGTAGTAAATTATTTAAATTTAATTTTGCTAATTTAACAGATTTAAAATTTTGTTTAATTTTAACTTATTTACTTAACGAGCTACTCTCGAACGAATTTTTAACGAGTTAAACATGAATTGAATTTGAGTAGTTTGATTTTTTATAATGTATTGCATATAAGTTTATCAATTTTATAATTTAACAAAAATGTAAAAATTCAGTACAAATAATTTACAAAATAATTGGCAAAAATATATTAAAAATTCACTTAAAATTAAAATAAGTAAAATTTCAAAATTTGATTTTAAAAACTGGATAATCAAACAGAGTGAATGAGTTTAAAATTATGTTCAATCTTATCTGGTTTATAAAACGAATCAAGTTTAAATAGCTTGATTCGTTTAATAGCCTTAATAAAATACAACATTTTTTTTTCTTTTTAAAGATTAGAAATAGGAGAAATGATTTGTAAATAAAAAATTATGCAAAAAATAGATTAATGATTTGTCGATGATAATTTTAAAATTACAAAAATAATAATAATAAATATTTTGACTAAAGAGTTGTGCTTGAGATCTCCAGTCTCCAACCACCCCCCACATACACCTGGAGGGTGGTCATTGGATCAAAAAAAATAAAAAAAAAACAGACCAATCACACCACACGGGACCTGGAGGTCACCCCAGCGGGGGCTGAGACATTAACCTTCGACTAAAAATGAATGACTATGCAAAATTATAACATTCTGTACAAAAATAGCAGAAGAGAGAGAGGGAGAACTGGTAGGCAGGTCCTCTCATAGTCCATTCCCACCATATCAACAACTATAAGTGGCTCCTAATCAAATTAGGTGGGTAAGTTGCTCCTGCTGATCATCTCTCAACTTGGCAATACTATCTTTGCATTGATTTCCAAGATTTGGATTCTCTATCATGCTTTCTCTAAAATAATCTTATTGTGATTTTTATCACAACAAGAAGACTCAGCAATAAATGACATAATTTAATAATTCACTTTTAAAATTAAAACAAAATAAGATCAACTATACATTCTTAAAATATTCAAATTTAAGCTGTTACATTACTACAACAAAGACCATTATAGATAGATTCAGGACATATGATCCTAAACTTGGTTTCCTTCCACCTGTGTTGATTTGTGCAACCTACGAAGAAAGAATCCAACTTCTCATCATATTTCCTTGCGATGTATTTGATTGAGAGATTTGAAAAGAGATTTTTAAAAAAAAATGAGAAAAATGTATGAAATTAGGTAAAATTTCACTTATTTTTTCTCTTTTTCTTTCCAAAACTCTTCCCAAACATAGCATTAAACTCATGTGTCCAACCACATTCTTCCGGATTCTCATCAGTTGAATTCTACTTTTATACTCTCCGTCCTTCCTACTCATGTTGCCAACTTGATTCATCCTACTCGTGTCGCCAACTTGATTCATCGCATTCCAAGTTTGGGTTTCCTAATCGATTCATCTGGGGAATAATTTAGTACACGAGATTTCCCAGATAAGGCTACATATCATCTCTTGGCTTTCACCATCTCTATGTCTTGGACGCAACTCATCCCTTCCAATCCCTCTAAAAATGAAGCTGTGTTTTTTGGCAAGCAACACTTCTCTTCGAAAAAATTATTCACCATTTGTAGCCCTAGTTCACCTCAAATAAGAAAGTCACCCCTTCCAATCCCTCTTAAACATGACTATCAAATTATTGAGAAAGATTGTAGAGCATTCTGTACATTCATAGAACACTGGTGAAAACTACCCAGCTTCACATACAATCCATCTCTCAACAACAATCAAAACCCCTCTCCAACTAACATTTCACCCAAGGATCATTTTGTAAATTCACATGCAAAACACTATTGGCTTACATCACTCATCATCTGCTACCCTATTTCACATGCCATCTTCCTCACAATTTAGTCACAAAAAAACCAAAAAAATAAAAAGGGCACCATCATAATGTTATACGCTTCGAATTGTGTCCACTCGATCAATGACATCCAAGGCCTTGATGCGATCGATATCAAAGTCAAAGACAGGGACTGATGACAGCCTTCTGACGATAGGTTCCTTCTTTGTTTCACTTGCCGGGGAGTGGCTGATACTCTTACTCAGCCTGTGATGCTTGCTTAACCTGATTTTCGATGTGTCAAATTCTTGACTCTTACTTATTCCAGGTGTCAATTTCCTCTTACTTACATCACGAAGCATCTCTTGATCTTCGATCGTCAACGAGGGCAATGGAGAAGAGCCGGACTTGTGCGTGGACAATTGAATCATCGTCTTCTGATTGGGAGAGCGCATTGGGGATTTGATAGGGGACCTGAATCCACCATTGGTGGCAACCCTTGATTGGCTAACAAGATGGTGAAGCCACACCACCAATTCAAGAATATAAGCTTCGGTTTTGTCCTTATCGGCGTGATGTAGTGTTTCAACTCGGATTAAGTCGGTCTGGCCAGTGGGCTTCTTGTTCACGTCGGACCTGAAGAAATTTGACTAGTCTTTTACTAATCGGGAAAATAGATTTGAATTAAGAGGTAAAACGTCTAGCGAATCATACTCACCCATTATTTGCCCATTCTCCAACCCAACCAAAGCCGTGATGTGCTCTGGTTATGACCAATTTGCGATAACAAAGCATATCAATTAGTAATCATCAAATATAGAGAGGAGAAACAAATAAAAACTGAAAAAAGAACAAAAATGGGCAAAAAACTGCCATTGGTTACCAATTTTAAAGTTCCTCCTGTTCCCAAACCAGCTGCTGAAAAGAAGGTTTAGAGTAGGAGTTTTCCGTATTTTTTGTTTTTGAAAATAAGAAAAAAACAAAACAAAAACAAAAAATAATAAAATTGCAAACTGTTTTCGAAAATCATTATGGAAAAAGTTTCCAAAAATATCCCATTTTTTAGGAAACACTCATAAATTGTTTTACTGAATTTTCAAAAATTAATTCCTACAAAAATGAAAATGATAGGGGTGTTGAACTGTTTATTATCTTTTGTTTTGAGGAAAAAAAAAATGAAATGATACCAAATAAATCCTATAAAATTGGGACACTTTACTTGGTTGTGTTTGTGGCTATGGGAACAAGCCACTGCAACGTTTTCTCCATTTCAGCTTTGATTTGTGGAACAGTAAGCTGCAATAAACCATTCAGAAGAATGGTTACGTTCTCAGATTAGATGCATAAAAATGTCCGAACCATATTTAACCAAAAGGACATGCAGACAAGGGGCTAAGGAAATTTAATTCTTCGCATGAGGCAACCGGTTCGGCCACTAAAACAATTAAAAGAACGAGTACCTCTTCCGTAAGCTGAAACGACTGCAACTTGGAGCGCAAAGCTGACTTGATTCTAGGAGGCAGTCCTTGATACAAAGAGTCCCTTGTATTTGGAGGCACAGAGCTTGATCGGGTTACCTGAAAACATCAAAAGATGAAATTATTAGGAAATAGACAATTCCTAATCAAGATCGGTGTGACACAAAATAGCAAACGAGAAAGATAAAACAAATCCAATCAATCACACACACAAGAATGTGAGAATTTACATGGTTCATTCCAGAATAGGGTTACGTCCACGGTCGTTGCAGTTTCACTATGATCAAAAAATGATTATAATTCTCTTTACACAATACAAGAGGCACCCCTCATCTATTTATAAATATAGAAATTAGGGAAAGGGAGGCCCTCCCGAACCCCCATTGGACCCAGGGTAGTGTTCAGTACTTATTAGGGTCCACAAATACCCAACAATCAGAAAAATGCCCTAAACCATGTGACACGCTCTGTTTGGGCAGAAAATATTATCTCCAAAAAACCTTGCTAGTAGCTATATTAGTGGTCGTGGGGGGGTTGGCGGCGGGGTGGAAATTGTAAGACTTTAGTTTGCTAAAAGTTTTCCATTGACCATAGAAAACACTTTCGGTTGATTTTCATTTTATGTTGTACCAAATGCCAGAAAATGCAAAAAACATTTTCCAAAAAACATTTGGCAGAAACAAATGGATCATTCATAGAAAGCATTGATATTTGTTTCCTTAATCAACAGACGCAACATCAATGTTTGTTTCCTTGGTCAATAGCAAGGCATGATGGCAACCTTTCACAATCAGTTATCAAATAGTGAAAAATGACAATAATGACGATGTTAGTAATATCAAAGGTATGATCAAGGAACACACAATGGAATAATAAACTCACGAGTGTATCAAGTTGAGTAACAATATTTGCATAATGCAATGCAAGACCAGCAGATCCCAATTTCTGATTATTGCTTTTCACTGGTCTACCTCCATCTGCAATGGTAAACAAGAATAATAAAAACAAAAAACTAAGACACCATCAAATGAATTAACTCAAAGAATAGCTCCAATCACAAATGATTTAAATCACAGGACAGCATACACAAAATATGGAGCAGAACAAGGACAAACAAAACATCTAGTACCAATTTATTGATAAAAATTTGCAGCAAATATTAGTAAACATGTTTTAACATTTTTCACCGTATAGAAAAGAGCATTTTCTTGAGATTGATGCAGATTCCAAGGTAATTTAAGTCTTCACTCCTTCATAAGGCTCACAGATGAGCTCATCAAACATCTATAGCACCTGTATCAAAGTGAGATGATTTGCTCCTGATTTAATGAAGCATGGGTTCTATTCACATTTTCTTCTCTAATGCTGTGTTTGGTTGGAGGATTTGGGGAGGAATTTGAAAAGGGAAATGGAAAAGGTAGGTGAGATGGGAATAAAACATGCCTATATTTCACCTAGTTTCACACACCTTTTCTCTTTCCCTTTCCAAATCCCTCTCCAAATTCTCCAACCAAACATAGCATAAGGAAACAATTCCCCAAAAAGGAAAATAAGTTTCTCACATAGGAAGTACAAGTTTGGTGCTTTAATAAACTCTCTCCCAACCCTTCTGCTTTAGTATATACATGCATTTAAAGAAGTCTTTGGTTTTTCCCATTAACAAAATAATTGTTCTCTCTGAAATACCAAACACCATAGAATCAAATGTTCATTTTTCAAATTTTTTTTTTCAATAGTGTCTCTGAAACAACAAAAAAAGGCAGAATCCTCCCTTTTCACTATTCATTACTGCATCTAGCAGGAGGAAAGAGTAAACACAGGATTTAGATATGCATAGATCAATAAATCAGAAATTTGAACTCATACCAGCATTACCAAAAGCTTCATGGATCTCCAAATGTAAGAAATGGACAATGTCCACTAGTTTCTCCATTACCTGCAAAATAGAAAGTACAAAAAATTAGCCTGGGCCACTGAAATATAATTTCAAAAATTATTCGTAATGAAGTTATTCATCCAGATCCTTCTAAATGAAGACCTCCATCAGCAAAAATCAATTAAACATAATCCAGAGCATAGAAAGCACAAAACTGCTGCACATATGCTTAAAAATAGTATTTTAGTAAAAAAATTACAGACGAAATCAACTAAGATGTGGCACAATACCTACTCCATCAACCTAGAAAAGAGAAATAAAATACTACTGACATGATACCTCTTCCAAAATCTTTGACCAGAGTGATTTCTTTTTCAAACTTCTGACATGCTTCCTTTGACTCTTCAACTCTGCCCTTAAGATTGCGAGGCCGTCTCCTAAATGTTAAAAATATATAAACATTTAAACAAAGTTACAACTTACAAGCATATACAATGGAAACCATAACCCTTGTGACATCAAGTTTTTCTCCTTTCTTGTGAACAATAGAAATTAGTCATGACATCAATTTCAAAGAACAATATGGGAATACAAGTCCCTATCATCACGTATTATTTAACAATCATTCACCCACCATCTATTTTGTAGCTTAGAGACAACAAGCTTGAGGGCAAGCACTTCAAGTTATTAACAATGTACAGGAGGCAGCTCAAATAATTTTTCTGATAATTATATCTTTGGCATGTCTCTACAATTTTCAGTTTTGATACACCACAAACATCTACGGAATCATTTTTTTTATTTTTTTTATTTTTAGATGGAATTTTGAACTATTTAAAACAGATAAAGCGGTTATAATATAAAGAACATAAACTCAATGGATTAAAAGAAAGTGTGCACGGAATTACAGGCACAATTACCCTTTTGAGCTGCATTTGAGTTATCCTCTTCCTGAAGCTTACGCCGATAATCTTGTTCAAATCTGTCCAAGGCATGCAACTCATGATACAATTCCTGCAGCAAAAAGAAGTTCAGTCTTTCCTCCATTAAAGTTCCACAACATAACATCTGCGTGTAAATCAAGTTGCAATCCATGCACCATGCCATTATCATCATGGCTTCACTTCTTAACATATAGAAATCAACAGCTTATGATCTGTTCCACTATTCTAGCCAGCCAAGCGTAATCATGTTTTGTTTGATGGAGTCTCTTGTGATCTTTTCTCACAAACAACTTCCACAAAATTTTCAACCTTATAGTATCAACATTCCAACTTTTCTTTGGTCACAAATAGTCTATTGTCCTCCCAACTTTTAGACAATCTTCATCCCTCCAATTGTACTTATACAACTTCAACTTGCACTAAGTTATTACTTCTTAAATGTAATTGTCTTCAAGAAGAAAAAATAATCGTTTTGAAACATTCACAATAAAAATGACTAGTAGAGTTTAGAATTAAAGAGACATGACCCCTGGTTGATATATTCCATGTCCAAATTCTAAAAGTAATAATAAGTTGGTCAGGTGAATAATAAATATTTTAGTAAACCATTTCGATGAATAGGATCCAGAGTACAAGTAAAACTAACAAAAAAAAAAAAAAGGAGGTCACTTATGCCAGCAGCATCATAAGAAATTAAATGTAGAAGCACAAAGTGAGAGCAGAGACAAAAGCAACTTTGGTGAGTTTGTACATGCTTTCCCACCCAATGTTCAAAGCAGTAGAGCAACAAACATGTCCACATTCCAAATTATCATAGAGAAAATAGGACTAGAAAAAACTTTTTTACAAAGAGAAAATTGATCATAACTCTTTTCTATTATATAGTTCTATCAAGTAAGAAACACATCTCCCACCCAGAACTTTCAAAAAAAAAAGGAAACGCCTAAATCTACAACTTCAAAAGAGTTGTCATCTGGGTATAATGGTGAAGAAAAACTCACTGCTGTATATTGAACTAAGGTCATCAATTGCTGCATCACAGTTTCTGCTTCTTCTTTCAATTGTTTTTGGGGTATAAGTTCTGATCCCAACCTAAAGATCACGAATGAAAACACCAGAGACAATGTGAGAACTCTTTGAGATGTAACAAAGAACAAATGAAGCCAAAGAACACCAGGTGCACTAGAATTACTTCTCAAAATAACGGTCCAAGTTGTGCCACTGAGGATCTTTACAACGATTTCCAAAACGAACCACTTCTCCGGAGAAAACTTTCAATTCGTCCCTGTTACAATTATAAAGTAATTATTTTTTCCTTTCAATATAGCATGTGCAGATTAAACATATTAAAAGTACATATATGTATAATAAAAAACTAATCACAGGTTCCTGCAGTATCAACCTCTTGTCAGTTGCAGCAATTCTTAGGAGTTCCTCCATATCTTTTGAAATTAAACGTTGCACGCCTTCCGAGGGAAGCACCACCTCTTTCAAATGTTTAATACTTTCCTTTGAAAGGGATTGCATAAGATTTGCACCCTTAACAACTGTGTTTGCAACTTCAAAAGCTAGAATTGAAATTTTGTTTCCCCTTGTTGTCACTCCCGAAACAAAACCACTGCTAGCGTTCAAATTTGTCATGCTACTACCAAGTGTATCCAAAACTTCTACTGCCTTCCCAAAGCCAGCAGAACCTGCTCTTCCCAGAAGTGAACTCACTTCTGAAACCTGTGATAAAAAATAGTAAAAATTAAAAATTAAAAAACTAGTAAAGCTGTTGAGCAAAATCATACTGTCAAAATAAAAAAGAGCTTCATTTGTTCGAAAAGTTATGGAACTTGACCAAGGTTGTATGTACATGATAAAAATGCAGAGAACGCCATCTGAAACTAGTTTGCAGCACAGATGGCAAATCATGCAAGACATTTGCACACAATGTCAATAAATATTGAGACACAAGAACACAAACGCCACACACACACACACACACACACAAGAGCAATGGATCAAAGTGAACGACGTCTTTTAAGACCCAAAAAACAAACTAGAGAATAATTAAAAGCAATAATTTATCATTCAAATCCATATTTATCAAATATATGGCTAACTCAATTCCTTTATCATCAACTAGGAAGCACGAACACTTCTAGTAGAAGGGAGTTGTAGCACTACTGTAGCCGTATCAGATACTGATGCTGCAGAGATACTCGCGGATACGTATATGATACTTCGTAAACGTAGCACTCTCTTGCTCTCTACCCTCTCTTCAAAGTTCAAATATTCACGCGTGACTCGTCTCTTGCACTTCACCTTTAAAGTTCATTTATTAGATACTCGCGGATACTAATAATATTTTAATTTATTTACTAAAAGCTTTAAAAAAAAAAAAGAACTCTTCAGTTATATCTAAACAATTGTAAGATGGAACCTACTACAAAAGAAACTCTTATCACTAACTCTAAGTCAAAAGCATTACAAAGCCTGTTAATGTATTTCTCCACTACAATTTTAGTGGGTGTTTGGGAAGTGGGTTTTTATGTAGGTTTTTTTAGTTGTAGGATATTATTGGATAAAAAAATTTTAGTGTTTGGGAAGATAGTTGGGTTTTTTGTGGTTAGATGTGATGTTTGTGAGAGAAAAAGTGAAATGATTATGGTGTTGGATGTGATATTTTGTTTGGATTTGTTTTTTTTTTATTTTGCAAAACTTTTGTCTTTTAGTGAAAAAAATAAAAAAAAAATCTGGGAAACAAGTTCCCAAACACCACCTTACTTGTAAATTGAGAGCAATTTTTAATTCTTTGAAACTTTTTCCAATGTTATCGACACTATTTGAGTGAATTTGTAGATTAGTCAATAATTTTTTCCTTCTCCTTCGTGGTTTTTTTCATGGATATCATATAATTTGGGTTCTAATTCACTAATTAGAGTTGAGTTTTCTAAAATTGAGAGGGGGAAATTGCATTGATTTGAAAAATATTTGAATGACCCCCCACAGGATAAAAATCTTAGCTTCGCCATTTGATGAGACCATGCATTTTGTTAGTGAGGTGTTGTGGGGCAAAGGTATTTTTAACCCCAAAAGGGATTATGGTTTTAGAACTTTCCCCTCTTCCTCATATTGTCAACGGTAAGAATTACCTCCCTTCTTGTTGGCCAAGAAAAGAGAGCAGCCTTTGGAGGAGCCTCTGGGTGCCACACCCCTCTCCTAGTAAAGCCACTATCCCCCACACCTTCATTATTCCCTACCAAAACACCTACCCCATAAGGCCCTCTACTAGACTCTATATACCAATCCCTCTTATCAAACATGTACTTCCCAACCACTAACCCCTTCGCGAACTCTCTTTATCAAAAGAAAGCCTCCGCAACCATTTGCCTTGCAGGGCCTAATTAAACAAAACCATTACTCTAATGGTCAACCCTCCTTATCCAAATGCACAACCCGAGTGGATCTACACCCAACTAGTGCCATTCAACATCACATTGCCATAAGTACATAAATTTGCACATAGGTTCTAACCAGACTTGTAGATCAAAGTATTTCAATATTTCATTGTTCGAATACACAAATTTGAAGAATAACAATGGCACATGAGGGATATTTTGAAGATTTAACAAGTTGATATTATTGGAGTTTTTCACCAACTAATTATGAAGCTCATGGCTCAAGTTTTGTGATACCTATCATTAATGAAAGTGCCTGCACCTTCAAATGCAAGATAAAACAAGTATTGCCACAAGAAATGTGCATCTAGTAACCCAATCGTCATGTGCATTGAAGTTCCATTACCACATATTTCCAGACAATGCTACAAGATATGTACTCCTAATAAACAGTGAAAGGCTGAAGCAAAAGAAACAAAAAAATTATCAAGAAAAATATGCACACACGACGCACCTTTGCAACAGCAGCCTGCCTAGACTTTGTTGATCTTGATTTGTTTGACATAGCCCTAGACAACCGAGGAATCCCATCACTGATATCATCATCTGGACGCATCCCATTGGCAATCATATTCGCCTCCGCCAATGAATAGGGTTCCCCCAATCGCTTATCCGCGGTTTCCCCTGCTGGAGATGGCATTGAGTTGCTATTGTCATCGGCAGCCACTCCCCGAGACTGGTAAACCATTCCAGAACCATAGTTCAAATGGCCATTAACATGTGGAAAGCTTCCACCGGTTGAAACATCTTCAGTGGATCTCCTTGAGCAAATCCCACCCATTGCATCAGCAATGCCAAATATTAGTAGTTCACAACTGTTTCAAGACTTCCATACACAATCCAAAAATCTGAAGCATTTCTAAATGCCTTAAAAGAACCTTTTTGACTGAATTCAATGGTAGCAAATCAAAGCCTTCCTCAATCAATTAATCAAATGATTGATCTGCACACTTTATTGGGTGTTTAAATCATGCCAGGCTGAACCCAAAAATCTTAACCACCCCACATTCTAAAAATCTTAGCACAGTACCCACTTCCAACCATCACTGAAAATCCACTGGAATTCACACAGAAACTGCAAACAAATGAAACAGAACAAACCCAAAAGAAAATTGCAAATAACAAATAGCACAAGAACCCAAAATAGACAGACTAGTCACAAAGCAAGCTCTATGCCCAAAATCAAAGGCCACCTAAACCAAAATCATGGGTTTGATTAGAAATTTGAATCCTCCAACATACATACCTATATTTGAATACAAAGAAGAGACAAAGATAGGGGTGGTGAGCTGGATCTGTGAGAAGATAGTAGAGAGTCTGGTCTGGGTTTTTTTCAGCTATAACAGGTAAGAGAGAGAGAGTGAGAGATGATGATGATAACGATGATGGAGATGGGTATGAGATCGAAGAGAGAAACAGAGGGTGAAGTAGTGAGAGCATAGAAAGTGGACCCAAGAAGTTACCCAATACAAACCGGACCACACGCACGGTTAGGCGCAGCCTCGACTGTGTCTTAGTTCGCTCTGCCTTCAATGTTGAAAAGGAAATCCCACACCACATCAAAGCACGCAGAGAGAGAAAGAGAGAGAGAGAGAGTGAGCTCTCTTTTCTTTGGTCAAATCCCCCAAAACACCTCCCCAGCAGCACCACTATGAAATCTTAACCATGGTCAAATTTTGATTCACCCTTTTACCATGATTGGATGCAAACCAAAGAAAATTCTTATGGAGGTGTGTGGGGAGTTAGATCAAGTTAAAATAGTTAATAAAGTTAAAATAAATTAAGAATTTATTTGATAAATTATTTAAAAGTCACTTTTTGATTTTTAACTTAAGTCACATTACTTTTTATATTTTTAACTTATAAAAAGACAAAAAAATTAAAAGATCAATTTTTAATTAACTTCTCAAAACACACTTAAGAAGTGGTTTGGGATACTAAAAAAGTATATTTATTATTTTTTTATCTTTTTTGAATCATAACATTTCTTTATTTTTTTGTATATATTTTTGTAAAGAATCAAAAAATAAACTTATTTAAATTATAATTTTTTTTTATCATATTCATCAAATCCAAACCAAATCAAACCAAGCCTTAAGTCCCATCAAATGGGGTCGGTTACATGAATCCTTCTTCTCCACGCGACCCTATCAAAGGCCATTTCATTAGTCAAATTAAGTAGATTCATATCTCTATTTATAACGCTAGTCAACGTTAATCTAGGCCTACCCCGTCCCCTAACACTTCCATCTACCGTTACAACATCACACCACATCCTCTTCTCGTTGTGCATTGTAGAATTGAAGAAAGCAAAGCAAAGCAAAGCAAGAGCGAGACCCATCATCCTTCCTAGCTTGGTATTGCCCTCTAAAACATAAATCTAGTATCAAAATCCTATGTTGAGAGACCAGACTCTCTCCAGGAATCACCTTACAATCATTGCATTTTAGGCAGTCTACTTTTCATCCTGTCCTGTCTAGTCTTACCACACATCCACCTTAGTATCCTCATCTCAGCCACACTCATCTTGTCTATATGTTGTTTCTTGGTTGCCCAACACTCCGTCCCATACAACATAGCTGGTATAATAGCCGTTCTATAGAACTTACCTTTTAGTCTAGTGAGTATTTGTTTATCGCACAATACCCCAGACGCACTTCTCCACTTACACCATCCCGCCTTAATCCTACGGGCCACATCTGCATCAATCTCTCCCGCTATTGTGATAATCGACCCTAAATACCGAAAATGTTCACTCTTAGGCAGTTCTTGGTTCTCAATCTTCACTTCTCCTCTGCTTTCATTGTTACTGTTACTAAATTTACACACCATGTACTTTGTCTTAATTCTGCTTATCCGAAACCCTTTAGATTCAAGAGCTTTTCTCCAAATCTCCAACTTTGTGTTAACTACTTCTCTAGTCTCATCCACTAACACAATATCGTCTGCAAAAAGCATACACCATGGCACGTCATTCTGAATATTTATCGTCAACTCGTCCATAACTAAAGCAAAAAGATAAGGACTTAAGATAGATGTAACAACCCGCATACTGTTTACTGATTAATGACTGATTGATTACCGATAATCACCGATTACTGTTAAACGGAACTGATAATGACTGATAACTGACTGAGAATTGAACTGATTAAAGTACTGAACTGACTGACCGAAATTGAAACTGAATTGAGTGAATACATCTGTTTGAATTGCATTTTATCTGTTGACTGTTTGTTTGATCTGTTCGTGTTATATGTTTAAACTGCTAATTGAAGGCCTTATCGGCGGCCGAACCGGAAAT